TGACTATGTGTGTTCATTTGATTCTATTTATAAAGAAGAAGACAACCTCACAGTTATTTCGCTTTGATTTCGTTCTGTTGACGTCATTAGGCAACAATAATGGAAATCTCCAATAACTAAACAGAGTAGGTTAAAAGCTAATGATTGTAAATATTTATATAAATACATATATAAATAAATAAATATGTACACATATATATATAATTCTTTGAACAGCTCATTTCATTGCAATAACATGTTACTTAATGCTTGCCGGGTATCTTTAAGTCGAGCAGAGTCTGCCTTGTTTGTGATTCAGAGTACAAAATTCAAAATACAGGGTATATAATAGTCGTTCCACACTCATAGCTTATAAGCTTTTGGTATAACACTTTTAGCTGGCTGGCACGTTCCGTTAGGCGGATGAACGCGAGCAACTAATCGACCTCAGAGCCCCGGTCCGCAAGTGCCAAGTGCCCCAGCTGCCTCCCTACATCCCTACCTCCCTCCTCACACACACACACACACACACACGCACATTATTATAGTTGTATGCATAAAGTAAATGTATTTATTTAGCGCTTATCAGTTTACTTAGTTCAATGTGTTCATAGCGGTTTCTATTTATAAGGCAGCAAACAACGATAGATACTCGTTTCAATATACAGACAAAGCACAGCATATACAGACAGACCGACAGACAGACACACACACACATATATATGCATATATGTATGCGTATATATAGCCATAAACAAATTTCAATTCTAATTGGTATTATGGCCGCAGCTATAGGCTGTAAGCTCTGGCTGTAGTTGTGTCTACTTTTTTGTCGTTTGGAATATTGTAAATTACTCATACGCCACGTTTTGCAATTGTGACCCAATTGAAAAACATTTGTTTGCATTTTGTTAATTATTGCATATGGAGTCAACAACAAATATGTCTCTATCTCTCTCTCTCTCTCTCTCTCTCTGTCTCTTAAAATTTTATCTGCTTTATGGCTTTGTCTCAATCTTTTGCATTCAAATGCGAATCAATAGCTTTAGCCTAAATAGCCCAATAGACTGCAGCAGGCAGCAGGCAGCAATTGACAGGTGCACAACAGGTTTTTATTGCTATTGTTAATAAAACAAATTTGCCTTTTCTTTGTCTTACAATCATTCAAATAAGTATGTCTGTCTGTACACCAAATTTGAATGCAATTTGCCATTGTTATGGACTTCGACTGTTCGACTTAGTCTCAATATTCAGCAAATATAATTTCAATCAATAGAGCTGGAGATAGAGATAGAGATAGAGATGGAGATAGAGATAGAGATAGAGATAGAGATAGAGATAGAGATAGAGATAGAGATAGGAGATATAGATAGAGATAGAGATAGAGAGCGATGAGATGAGATAGAGATAGAGATAGAGATAGAGATAGAGATAGAGATAGAGATAGAGATAGAGATAGAGATAGAGATAGAGATAGAGATAGAGGATAGAGATATCAGATAGAGATAGGATAGAGATAGAGATAGAGATAGAGAGAGATAGAGATAGAGATAGAGATAGAAGATAGAGATAGAGGATGAGATTCGAGATAGAGATAGAGCTGAGATAGAGATAGAGATAGAGATAGAGATAGAGATAGAGATAGAGGATAGAGATAGGATAGAGATAGAGATAGAGTTAGAGATAAGAGGATAGAGATAGAGATAGAGATAGAGATAAGATAGAGTAGAGATAGAGATAGAGATAGAGATAGAGATAGAGATAGAGATAGAGATAGAGATAAATTGTGCATTCAACTGGATTCCAATTGACTTTTCACTTAGCTTATTTGACGCTTGGTTAATAGTCAAATCAATTGAAACTCGTTTTTCAGCCAATTTAAGTATGTGTTAAGTGTGTTTGCACACACACAGACACACATTTGCTTGCAACTGTTATATTTTCTCCTTAAAATTTCCGCTTACAATTTATAGCCAAGATAAAATTTGATATCTAAATTCAAATATCAATTGTCTCAATTACATGTTTAATTAGTAAGTTAGTTAGTTAGACTTTCATTTGTTTTCTATGCTGTTGCCACAGCAACTGTTGTGTGCGTGTGTGTGCAACCACTTGTGTATCTAAATGCAATTGCATTGTGGCTATGAGTTGCTGCTGGCTGCTTACAGTTTTCTCATCTATGACATTTTTTTGCCTACAAATTTCAATTGCATGTCACACACAGTCACACATACGCACACACATACATATGCATGTGCATGTGCGCTATCTGTGTGTGTGTGTGTGTGTGTATATATCGATATGCTTAGGCCCACATTTCTATAGCCCACACACAGGCCGTCTCCCTCTCTCACTTTGCTCTCTTCCACGCTCTTCCCCTACTACTTACAGCTCCCTCTCCGCGCGCTCTCTCTCTTTCTTCGTTGCTCTCTTCTGTCTATCTGCTTGCTGCGCTTAATCCAACATTTACAATCACAGTCGAAGCTTTTTGATTTTAATTGTGTTTTTTTTTTCGCTCGTTTCTTTTAGTTGTTGCTTTTTTTTGTTTGTTTTTGTTGTCTTTCGCGCATTTTGCACTTGAACGACTTTCAATTGAATTTCGTATTTATATAATCCGAGGCGCGTACAGACACATATGCATGGCATAGTATATATATATATATAAATTAATATGTTGCTGGTCCAGCGATGAACTAGGCGTCGGTGGCAGGTCCAGCGTTGATCGGGTATTTATAGTCTTAATCAATAAGTTGCTGGTCCAGCGATGAGCTAGGCGTCGGTGGCAGGTCCAGCGTTGGTCGGGTAATTATAATCTTCTTATGATGATTATGTTGGAGGGTTTGACTTCACCCCCTTTTCTATTAACTGGCCTTGTGGCTCAGCAATGATCAGAAATATAACAATTTGATTACGGCGGTGTGCCGGAGTAGTGCGGGTTTATTCTTCAAACTTCAATGCAAAACTGATTTTTAGCTACATAGAATATTTCACTTAAGCTAAGCCAAAACTCGCATCACACCACAATGTCATGGTCGGCAAGCCGACTCAGCAATCTTAGGCAATAACGGAAACTCTTGCAGTAAACAAAAGTATCTGGTTACCGCCGCTGACCATTGCAGTTATAGCGCGCTGATACAAAGTATGCAGTGTCGCAATTGCGAGGGCTGTTTCTTAACTTACGAAACACGCGATAGCGAGGGTTGGTTATAAACTTATGAAATACCCTATATTAAATGTTATGTGTTAACTACTCCCCCTTCAAGTGTAAGGCCGCCCTCGGCCGACCCAATTCCGGCGACGACTTCTCGTAATTGCTTCGCAGACTTCCTTGCGTCGATGAACCGCCAAAGGGTGAGGCCAATGCAGATTAAAGCACAGCATATACCTCCAATGATGAATGCCACACGATAAGCTTGATCAGTTCCGGCGTCTTTCTTGAATTGCTGTATCTCCTCCAAATTACGTTCATTTAAACGATGAAGATAAGGGAGGCTGAGGACATCTTGGCTGGCAGTGATGTTCAGCAAGGGAGAGTTGGCAATGCCCGGGACTCTATTGCGTACGTTGTTGTGGTTGTAAAACAGAGTCCCGTTGATCGCGACTCGGTCCCCGAACGTAATGAGATGCGTGCCGTGTACTTGGATTTCAGTGCCGTTATCCACCTGGATCCTTGCGGACCCGTCGTTAAGAATGATGATTCCATCATCTACGTGGGTGATTATTTCCAGGTTGCTCGGCTGGATTTCACAGTGTGCCGTGCCACCTGCATGGAGCTCTTTGGCACATGAACTCTCTAATGCCAGACGACAAAAGGTGGCTCCAGGTGAAGCGGTGCAACTCTGCAGTGTGTGGGTTTTTCCATCGCATTCGGCTATGACGTTGTCAGGCAATCGCAATATGAAATTCTGATTTAAATTCCAAAAAAAAAATTTTTTTTTTTTTTTTTTTTTTTTTTTTTTTTTTTTTTTTTTTTTTTTTTTTTTACGTTGGGCGCCAATTAATATGTTGCTGGTCCAGCGATGAACTAGGCGTCGGTGGCAGGTCCAGCGTTGATCGGGTATTTATAGTCTTAATCAATAAGTTGCTGGTCCAGCGATGAGCTAGGCGTCGGTGGCAGGTCCAGCGTTGGTCGGGTAATTATAATCTTCTTATGATGATTATGTTGGAGGGTTTGACTTCACCCCCTTTTCTATTAACTGGCCTTGTGGCTCAGCAATGATCAGAAATATAACAATTTGATTACGGCGGTGTGCCGGAGTAGTGCGGGTTTATTCTTCAAACTTCAATGCAAAACTGATTTTTAGCTACATAGAATATTTCACTTAAGCTAAGCCAAAACTCGCATCACACCACAATGTCATGGTCGGCAAGCCGACTCAGCAATCTTAGGCAATAACGGAAACTCTTGCAGTAAACAAAAGTATCTGGTTACCGCCGCTGACCATTGCAGTTATAGCGCGCTGATACAAAGTATGCAGTGTCGCAATTGCGAGGGCTGTTTCTTAACTTACGAAACACGCGATAGCGAGGGTTGGTTATAAACTTATGAAATACCCTATATTAAATGTTATGTGTTAACTTATATATATATATATATATATATATATATATATATATATATATATATATATATATATATATACATTAGTATATGTATGCATATATATTTATTTATATGCATGCACTTTTATACTGTTGCCTGTTTAGCCACAAACAAAGCAATTCACATACAGGCACACACACACACATACACATACATATACACATACACGTAGACACTCGCATTGCAGTCTTTATTGAATTGTTGTTGTTGTCCCATTTATCATGCCATGCAATCATTGACCAACGCTAAAAATGCAGTGCGCAAACTTTTTATGCAAAAAAAAAATTATTTTTTAGATATATTTGTATATTTATGTTAAACATTTTATACTAATGTTAATTTTTTTTCCTTTTTTAGCAGCCACTACTAAATTTATGAACAACTAAATTTTGTTAAGTTTTCTTTCTTACGCCGTGTGACGTGTACATGTTCCCAAGTTTGTTTAAAAAAATCTAAATTAATTAAAATAGACATATGTTTATTCTAATAGTCGTTTCAAATTGTGTTCAAAATATTGTGTTTATCACTAAATTTGGTTGTCCAACATTTGCTGCTCTGTCGCACTACTATTTTTATGAACGGGCCTGTATGTATGTATGTATGTATGTATGTATGTACACATACACATATGTATGTGTGTATGTGTGCGTCAATAAAATTATACAGATATCTCGTGCTATATTTATTTTATAAGGAAATATTTGTAAAACATTTAGAATTTTTGAAATATTTCTCAAGTATTTAGAAATAAAATTTTTTAAATGTTTATAATAAAGAATTATAAATTAATCAATCGATAAATATATCAAAATTCAAAATAATAATGCTACGAATATTGAGAGAAATATATAAAAACTGAAATAATAATTTTAATATACATAAAAAGTTTTCTTGAACAGAAATTAAATTAATTGAATAAATAAATTTAAATGAAATACATAAAAGTCTATGCAATCAATATTCATATGTGAAACATTTTCTAATTAATATTTTATAAACAACAAATTCTAATTGTTTTTCCTGTTTCTTTTTCTATTTTCTAGGTAAGTTTCTTGATTCTGAACGAAAGCAAAAAATAAGAACCTAAAGCGAACGCAGTGAGTGCATCAATCTGAACAAAACATCCCATGGGAATCCAGTCTGATTCCCAACTATAACATAATAACTATCTATAGCTATATGACATCTAGCGAAGCCAATTCAAACGACTCTAAAATACGATTTTTAAACTTGTTTCATCTGTAGAAAATATTCAACTTTCCACGGTAGCTTCGGATTTAGTTCAGTAGTTTCTTTATTACTGAATCAATCCAAAAACCAGACATTGTAGGTATTTATATATATATCTATATATATAGCTAGATATCGATATAAATACTGAACAATAACTGCTCAGCCACACTTGCCCTGAAAACTTTTGGCTCAGCTCAAAGTTGAGCGTAAACTAAATCTGAATTATTTGACAAATTTAAGTTTTATACAAGGTGAATTTGTTGTTGTTGTTAGCGTTTAGCTTGCTTTAAACTACGAACTTTCAACTTGCTTGAACTTTGATTAAATATTGTAAAACTTTTAATGCCCACAAATAGGGCGGGGTCAATGCAACAAACAGCCGAGTCGAGCCAAGCTAAGCAAAGTAAATGGAAAATTTTAAGTGCAAATAAAGTTTGAATTTCGATGTCAATTAAGCAGCAGCGTCTGCTTGAGAGCCTTGAAATTGTGGATGTATATAATTATGAATAGATATAAATATATATATATATATATATATATATATATATATATATATGTATATTGCCAACAGATTTTGCCCGTTGACTTTGGCATATTTTGAGGTTGATGTTTCCTTGGCAAATATCCCAGTTGCAGCGCGTGATTGAATGGGATACAGGGTATCTGCTAGTCGAGCATACACTGCTTAAGCATACTCATTATATTCATGCCTCAGGTGATTTCTAAGGAATTGCGAGGCGCAAATTAACGAGAAACTGCGCAAGGTGACGAAAGGAACAGCGATTCGTGGGAAAATATTACGTATACGCAATGTGGGCCAACCATATTTTTTTGAATATTGAGAAAGAGAGTTGTAGAGAAATATATGTGGAGGAAGAGATAAAGAGAGAGAGAGAGAGGGAGACAGAGAAAGGGAAAGAGATATATATATAGAGAGAGAGAGAGAGAGTAAGAGAGAGACAGAGAAAAGGAAAGTGATAAAGAGAGAGAGAGGCGACGAAAGAGTTCAAAACAGAGATGAAAGCAAAGAGAACAAGAGAGAGAGAGAGAGAGAGAGAGAGATAGATAGAGAGAGAGAGAGAGAGAGAGAGAGAGAGAGAGAGAGAGAGAGAGAGAGAGAGAGAGAGAGAGAGAGAGAGAGAGAGAGAGAATGAGAGATAGAGAGAGATTGAAACAGAAGTAAATGAAAGGAGGAAGCTACAGAGAGAGAGAGAGAGAGAGTGATTTGAAGAGAGATCGGTGAAGAGGTAAACATAAATAAATAGAGAGAGAGTTATAGAAAGAGCCAGATAAAGAAAGAAAGATACAGAGAGAAAGATGAACAGAGAGACACAATGAGTGCGAGACAGAGAAACAATTAAACGATAGGCAAGAGAATACAAGAAATTACTCATACGCAATGTGCGCCAAACCTGCAAATACTTTGTGAAGTAGCTCACAGCCCAAATGTTGCTGTTGTTGCCATTGCTGTTATAATAATAGTATCTGTTGTTGTTGTTGTTGTTGTTGTTGTTGCTCACAGTCATGACAAGCGATTTGATCATCGCGAACATCATCATTGAGTCTGTCACATGCCTTCGCCTGCTTATGCTTATAAATATATATCGAACGATGAATTACGCGTTACGTCGACAGCTCCAAGATGATTTCCACTTGACCATCGTTGCCTGAGTCTGACCCATTTACCCCAGAGGCTTGACGCATTTCCTCCGTTGAGGTCTCTGTCTGGACAACAGCTTTTTCGACTATATATAGTATTATTATATCCTATGCATTATGCCCTCGAGACTGATTAGCTTATACCTTTCGGCTTTATGCTACGCTGCCATAAAAGTCAGAGAGATTTTTTTCTGGTTGCGTCTTGATTTCTTGGTATTTTATAACTGAGTCCTAAAAGGGAATTAAATTGTTTTCAGCATTTTTTTTAGTATTGTATACTTAGTACTAATTGGGAACTTATATAATCAGTATTTTCCTGGTATTTTTGTCTTAATGCCTGCCTGGCTGAAATGTATATATTTGCCAGTATTTTCCTGATATTTTATAGTTTACTTTTAACATGAGTTTATATTATTTTTAGTATTTTTTGTTTTATTTTATTATTATTATTTTTTGTTTTATTTTTTTGTTGTTGTTTTTTCTGATTCCTAATTGAGATTCATAGAATATGTAATATTTTATTGATATTTTTATCTGGTCCACGATCGGATTTTATAATTTGTTCAGTATTTTCTTGGTATTTTATATAATCTTTTTAATATTAAAATTAATTTAAATGTTTTTGATTATCAATTTTATTTTTATTTTTATTTTAAACATTTTTTAATAGTTCATAATAATTTTTTCTTATAATCAGCATTGTTTTTTAAGTAATTATTTAGTGTGTTTAATTCAATTTGCTAATAAGTAGGTCAAGGAGATTTTTTTTTGCTTAGACTAGTTGGTATTTTGTAGTATTTTTTTGTTTGTTTTCTGCTTCTTCTTTTTTGTGTTTGCCAAGTACACAAATCAATATGCCCTGTTGTTATTGGGTTATCCAACACTTCAGGGCAACAAGCAGAAGCAGTAGGAGAAGTAGGAGGCGGGGTCGTAGGAGCAGGAGGAGGGGAAGGCGGGGAGAACTGAGTAAATTTGCCTCATTTGCGAGTTGCGCTGGTGCCAAAAAGAACGACTTTATAAATATATATGCACTTATGTGTATACACATACATATATTTATATATATGTGTGTGTGTATATATAAATTATATGCCATATAAGCAGATATATATATCTATGTGTGGGCGAATGTGTAGGTGTGCGTGTGTGTCTCTCTGAGCAGTTCCTTTATAACCATGGCAAGAGCTGGCTGGCTGGCTAGCTGGTCGGGTGGTTGGGTGCTTGAGTGGGTGAAGCCGGGAATACGTTACCCACAGCACCAGGCAGAAGGTTTTAACAGTCGACCTACGTGTCATGCATAAAAGGCAAATCGTTTTGCTGTCTGCTTGCCCCATGTGTGTGGGTGTGTGTGGGTGGACTGATATACATGCTCATATATGTATGTACTTTCGCCATTTCTTTCATGGCCCCAACTGACATTTGTACTATTGGCATTTATGGCCCGCCCTAAAAGCCAGCCGCCCAACGCCCCAGCCACCCACACGCCTTGCCAAACTACTTAAATATTTAAGCATCCGTTTGCACACATATTGATGTTTGTGTGTGTGTGTCTATTAACATTATTGATTTACCATTTAGCATTCATAACTTGAACGTTGTTTGTAGACAACCAACAGCAGCAGCAGCAGCAACAGCAGCAACAGCAACAGCAGCAACAACATACCACATTCAATTTTCTCTCAAATTTTCATTTCTCTTCACACACCAAATTGTGCGCTGCGTATACGTAATGTATGTGTGCTATGTATATGTATGTATGTATGTACATATATATATATATATATATATTTATATATATATATATGAATCATATGTTACGCATACGCCGCGTTGTCCTTGACAAAAAACTAAATCAGCCAAGCCAAGCAAAATCAATAATAAATGATACCAAATATATATATATATATATTGGAACTGACACAAAAGAAAACAACAACAACAGCAGCAACAAAAGCTGCCAACGGGCATAAAGAAAACTGCAAAAAATGAAAATACAAAAAAAAATAAAAGGCAAACTAGCAAAGGAAAAGCAAAACTTAATATGTATAAGATATAAATATATATATATATATAAATATAAATATAAATATAAATATATAGACATATATATATATATATATATATATATATATATATATATATATATATATATATATATATATATATATATATATATATTTATTTATTTATTTATATACATATACGTATCATTAAAGTGCAGCGACTCGCAAGTAGCAAAGTCTTTGCTTAAACTTATTCAAATATATTTTATATAAACATATATTTTTTTGCATCTAAAGTTGGCTCAGTAAGAGCTGTGAAGCTGTGGCTCGAAGTCTGGGCGAGGTATGCGGCAAGTCGAGCACTCCCCTCACTGTGTGGGTGTCTATGTGTCAAATATAAACTATTATATAATTCGACCCTGGCAACACACGCACACACACACCACGCCAACAGGGAAATAATTAATGAGCTACACTGTATGTGTGTGTGTGTGTGTGTGTGTGTGCCGCCCATCGCTAAACGCCCACTGCAGCATCCCGGAGACGCGTGCGCCGGTGCTGCTTGCTGGCATTTGGATATTCACCTGGCGGACCCCAGCGCGCTGCCTCCGTCCGCCGCCCCGCGCAGGCTAGCAGCTACCCTGGGGAATGCAGTTGCTGCTCTCATTTGCTATCTCTCTCTCTCTCTCTCTCTGCCTCTCCCACTCTGTTACTCGATTCGTTATCTCTGTTCTTGCATGTGCTTTTTCCTCGACTCCACGCGACTCCACTCGACTCTCTTTCTAAGTCATTGTCGCCAGCTCTCGCGACCAACAAATGCAGCGACTGCCACAAAATTCACTTTGAACTCTCGCCTATCGACCCAAAAGTGTGCGGCATGCAGCACAGTGGCATGAACGCATAGCGTTGACGCTGCGAAGCTCGCAGCGCAACCAAAAGCATTTAAGCCAAAGCCTAAAGCGCTCATGGCCAATGCCCTTACTCAAGTGCCGCCATCTAGTCAAATCTGCGACGATATATTGCACAACGAACTATCGAATATCGTTATCGTTATCGATAATCGAACGAGCGACTTGCTTAGGGCATTTAACAGCAGTTCAATTGCTCGCATCAAAATCGTTTCGGGCAAATCATATTGTTGAGGCGAACATTTGCAAGTTATCGATAGATTAATAATGAGTTATCGATATTTATTTTATAATTTTTAATTAATAATATAATTATTATTTATTTTATAATTTTTAATTAATTATAATTTCAAAAAATTTAATTTAAAAAATTATAATTTTTAATAATTTTTATTTATATATTTTTTTTATTTATTTGTTAGCGTATTCAGCAGTCGACTTGCTGCGCTTCTATTTGCTTTGGCCATGTTATTCAGTTAAGCAGCAGCCGCAAACAAAATTTATGAATACTGCCAACAGAAGCTAATAAGGCGCGCACACACACGCATGTGTGTGTGTGTGTGTGTGTGTGTGTATGTATGTATAATATGGCCTAAAAGCCACCCGCAAAACTTTAGCCAGCCCACTTCACTGGCAATGGCCTAAACAAACTCAATCAGTTGTTTGCTTTATGACAGAGCTTTGGTAACGCGGCCATGTCCTTTTAGTCCTTGCCTAGTCAATAGCTGTATGTATATAGCATATATATATATATATATAAATGTGTGTGTGTGTGTGTGTGTATTGCTTTTTTTTATCAGCGCAGCTTGGAAATTGATGCTGTCGCTGTCGCTGTCGCTGCCGCTGCCGACGTCGCTTGTCTTTCATTATAGCTCTGTGTGTGTGTGTGTGTGTGTGTGTGTGTATTGGTATTGAGTATTTTGTGGCGCTGTTGCCAGTTGCCACTTGCCACTTGCCACTTTTTGGCTGGCTTGTTGTTGCTGCTGCCTGCTGTTGGCCAGGCCTCTGCGTGCGAAGGACATTTCAGTCTATTTGGAACTTTTGAGTTGGGGAGTTGAAAATCGCGCGTGCTTCGTGTTTGTTAACATTATCTCTCACTGTGTGTGTGTGTGTTTACATTTGGACAGCGTGTGTGTGTGTGTGTGTATGCGCGCGTGCTTGTGCATGGCAAACCAGAGCCAGAGCTCTAACCCCTCCAGTTAAAGTCTATTTTGTATGTTAAATGCACTTTGGCATTTTGTACTTAATTTTTGTGTTTCGCTGCTTTTGTTGCCTTAATTGGAAATACACACACATATTATATATATATATATATATATATTTATGCTGTTATTTAGTTTCGGTTGCGTGCGCCACGGCGTATGCTTAATGCGTTCACAAAAGGCAAACAACAACAAAAAGAAGCGAGCGCAAATGCTGCTCTTGTCTGCCCTGCTAGAGCTCAATCCCAGCCCCAGAACTCGCCAGCCCCCACAGTAGCCCCAACCCCCAACACATCCCAACTCTCTTACATGCTATAACGCGCGCGAGCACACACACACATACACACATTTATATATATATATATAACTTTTCTTTTTTTTGTTTGTTTGTTATGCTCTTGGTTGGGCGTGGCCAGGTCGGCAGGTCGCCAGCTCCTCGACGTTTATTTAATAATCAGCCACCATTTTTTTTTCAAGTGAAACTTAAACAAAGGCGCAAAACACAAAATTTGTGAATGCTTATGCAACAAGCCAAAGAAATACCAGAAAAATACTGCAAAATACTGTAATAACAATAACCCAAACGAGATGTAAACAAGAACTGACTTTCATTGCGGGTGTTTGTTTGAACATGTTTAGTAAAAAGTAAGTAAATTTTACTATTTGAAATACAGTTAAATAATTAGCAAAAAAATTTGAAGTAAATAAAAAGAATTCTCTTTAAAATAGTATCAAAAACTAATTGAAAACAAAATAAAAAATACTTTACATATATTAATATATATAAAAAATAAAAAAAAATACTTTACATATATTAATATATATAAAAAATAAAAATATATATATATATATATGCCAAGACATAAATAATTGCAAAATAAAATAAATTTTTAAAGCAAAAATTTAAAACAAAATCGAAATAAATACTAATGACAAAATGCAAAATACAATACTAAAATACCATTTAAAAATATAATAAAAAACTTAATTTAAAAAAAAAAAAACAAAAATAAAATATGCTATTTGATAATAAAAAAAAAAACAGAAAAAAATAAATAAAATATATGTCGAAATAAAAATAAAATTGAGAAAATAATAATAATAATAAAATTAAAGAAATTTTTAGCCAAAGATTAAAAACAAAATTTAAAAATGCTGCACAAGTATATAAATTTATATAAATTAAAGATATTTATTTATTATATTTAAAATAACTAAATTAAAAATATATATTATAAAATATATTTATTAATTTATTTATACATAAATATATATATACATATATATTTTTTTTATATTTATATATGAAAAGAGTATTCAGGCTCTGCTGCGGCTTCCTTGCACTTTGCAGCTGCTTAGAGACGGAGCCAAGAATTTAAAGTAGTTTTCGATTCTCGAATAACATTTCAACTATTTTAATTTCAAGAGTAATTTCACAATGAGAGAGGGAGGGTGGGTGGAAGAGAGAGCCTATTTCTATGGCTTTAAGTCACGTAGCTGAATGGGCGCAACAAGGACAGGGCAAGCAAGGGGCGGGGCGGGGCGTGCTAGAGCTGTGGGTCCTTGTAATGCACACGAAGTCTTTTGCTAGTCCCATAAATTAGCACTAAGCTGGTTTTTTTTTACGCTTTAAATACAACCACCCAGGCGAAGGCCTCGCCACAACACCAACCCCAGCTCGAGCCCCGGCTCCAATCCCAACCTGGTTCCACATTAAGCGCCTCTGCTGCTGCTGCTCATATTTCCAATGGCTCTGCTGCGGCTGCTGTTGTTGGTATCTGGGGCTGCTTTGGGGTTACGCCTCAAACTTCTTAAATCGCGTGACATGCTATGAAATAATTTCATAATTCCAGGCCGCACACACACAAATATATATATATATATATATATATGTGTGTGTGTGTGTGTATACACACATTTTTATAGATACACAGGCCAAATGGCGTTTTGGGCCAACTTCCAACGTCCGTCCAACCCCAGTTTTGCACTCGCTAACTCTTTCCTCACTTTTGCATTTTACATTTTTTTTCTTTTCAATTTTCTTGTTGCCTTTAAAATATTTGTTTGCTCACTTTTTGTATGGTGCGCATGGATGGGGGCGGGGCGCGTTAGGCTTTGAAATGCTTTGAGCCCAGTAACAACACCTAAAAGCACGGACGCAGCCCGCGAAACAACGGCCATGGCAGGGGCATCGAGGCAGAAGCAACAACACCCAAAGACGACCCAACGACCAACAGCCGACGACGAAAGCTACAACAACAACAACAACAGCAGCAGCAGCAGCATCGACGTCCTTCCGTTATGTCCATTCCGTCACTTACACATACATGCACACAACACACATACACACACATACACAACTTGCGCTGGCCTTCTGCAGTTCTATCGTGTTTCCGTCGGCGACGCCTGCGTGTGTATTATTCACCCTTCGTACTGCGTGCAGCATATCTTTTTTTCCTTTTCCTTCTTCTCCTTGTTGTTGTTTTTTTCTGCTGCTGCTACTGCTACTGCTGCTGCCTTCTCATTTTCTTTTGCTTGTTTGTTTTAGTTTGTTTTTTGGTTGTTTTCTTGCACCGTTACCTTTTAAGCACTTATTACATGCTTTGTTTTACTCTTGGTTGCGTTCGGCTTTTGCACAACTTTAAATAATTTAGCGACGCCCCGCTCTCTCCCTCTCTATCTCTCTGCATCGCTCGCTCGCTCACTCTTTGGTGTCCCGGACGACCAACAGCCTATTCACTCGCCCCTCTGGCTGGCACTTGTGGTGTGGTGAATATTAAATGCTCTTGGTTTGGCTCGCCCTCTGTATTTGTGTGTGTTGAAATCAGTAAGCGAACTAACCAAACCCCCCACTCCAAGCGCACCAGCACCAGCACCACCTGCCCCTCGACAGTACCAACTGTGTTGGATTTTATGGCTAAGCTCCCGAGTCATTCGCGCTGGGCAACAAATTTTCTGTAGCACTTTTTTCAGCGCCAGCTAAAATGTGTGTATGTGTGTGTATGTGTACGTCTGTTTCTTTAACTTTAAATGGAAATGTCTCAAAGCTCAATTCATAATTCTGACAAATGAGCGAAACTTTGTTTTTCCTTTTAATGAATAAATTTCATGCACAAATTCCTTTCAGCTTTCGCCTTAAAGTAGAAAATTGTCCTTTTTTTATTAATTTAAACTGAACGAAAAACAGGTGTTTCTAAATAAAATGTAATATAAATATTTACAATACAAAATAATTTGCATTTTACTTGTAATATTAAATTAAAATAAATTTAGCAAATTAAAAGTTTTTTTAATTTTGTGCGTTTCTTAAATATTTCTAAATTTAATTTTGTGTTGCGTACACTCAACGCTAGATGGCGCCTGCGTATCTGCCGCTGAATTCTAGCAGTTTTGTGATTTTAGCAGATTGGCAAGGGGCAGGTGGTAGATGATAGCTCAAACACACACACACGCGCACAATCTGCCCCTCACTCTCTTTCTCTGTCTCGCTTGCTCTCATACGTACCAACGACCTATTTACAAGCCCGCCATGACACTTGCATCCCATGGCTCAACTTTAATTACGAAAAGAAAAGAAAGAAAGAAAAGAAAAAAGAGACTAAATGAGCCAGTTGCAAATAAGAGATACCCTGCTTACGTCTAATACTTGCAAGATACGCTCAACTAGCATATACTCTATACACATATACGCAAGATATATCGACATATTTGATCGAAATTCGTTGATAAGCAATAAGACTACGTATAGTAGAAATGTTATGGTCACACTTTCAATACCTTATACTAAAATATAAAAATATTTTGTTTATAGAACTTTTTTAGCCACATATTGAATAGAAATAGTAATCGGAATAGATATACGATAATATGATAATAATTTTCATATAGACAGATCAATTTATGCACCAGCATGCCCCACTAGCTATGCAGATGTGTAAGTGTGTGTATGTTGGGTATATGGGCATTAAAAATACTTGCATAATAATTTTCACTTATGCTTTCTTGCCCATTCCCGTCATCATGTTGTCATCCTTCTCTCGCTCACTGTGTCTCCATCGCTCCATCTCTCCCTCTCGTTCTATCTCGCTGTCAGTGCAGGTATAGCCTGATGTTTGTTTTATGCTCGTGTATATAAAACTGTTTATTTTGTGCATATGTTTTACCGTGCGAAAGTCTGATGAATGTTTGCATGTTGCTCCAGCATACACTTGCTCCTCCTCCACCTGCTTCTTATCTCTCTCCTGCTCCCGCTCCTCCACCTGCTCCTGCCCTGCCATAGACCGTTTCTAACCAATATGCCAACTGCCTGCACTGAGGCGTTAGCAAATGCATAAAGAAAACTGAGTGCACAGTTTTTCCGCTTTTCCCTTGCTGAAAATCGATTATCTGGGACTGAGTGCTGGAGCTCCGATTGAAGGCTTTAGTTGGCGCTTTTGTTATTGTTGTTGCTTTTGGGCTTTGCATTTTCGGCAGCTCGCAAAGCTGTTACACCCACACACACACACACGCGTACTTGTGTATGTGTATGTGTATGTGTATGTAAAATGTCAAATTGTGTTTCCTTTTCTGTTTTTTGCTGCTGCCGCCGCCATTTTGTCTTCTGCTGTGGTCCGTTGTTCGCCAATAAGTTTACGACTGCCGCCAAATAGCGCGAGTTACGCACACACACATACACACTTATACACACACAAATACACACACACTTGTGCACACATCCATTCACTTTCCAGGCTGCTGAGTCGCCGCCATTTTGAAATTGATACAGAGCACTCGGGCATCGGTTGGCGTTTTTGCCAAGCTTTGCGCTATGTGGCAGGTGGTGCCTGCCGATGTTGCCCCCACCCTATGCATTTGCGATACTGCAATTGGGCTGCGGGTCACTCATACACACACACACACAGCCAACAGCCAACAGCCAACAGCCTGCTCTCAATGTTTGCCTAGGCTGCTGCTGCTACTGCTGCTGCTGCTGCTGCTATTCCGTCTATGTTCAACTAACCAAACACACACACACACACCCTCACGCACAGACGGCCTTTCCATATTTCCAGCTGAAATATTGTGCTGCCTTTGTAGTTGTTGTTGTTGTTTAGTTAGTTTTGCACTTGCAGTTGTTGTTAGTTGCCAGCTAAAATGCGCGTACGAGCGAGTGAGCCAACCATTTTGTGCCGAGCCTGAGACCCAGACGCCAGGGCACCCAAACCACAGTACCGCCCCCGCACACATACACACATATACGCACACACACTTACACAGAGGAGCAGCTGCCACAGCAGCCACAGCCGCAGCAGTGGCAGTGGCAGCACCAACAGGAGCCTCTTTATCAACCCCTACACTAATCTGCCAAGTGGCTGCGTTCTCCTCAACGCGTTGCCAACAGCAGCATCAAACACAATCATACGCATTCACACACACACACACCCACGCACACACCCACGCACACAACCACGCACACAACCACGCACATACAACACACACACATGCACACATCCAGGCTTCAATCAGCCGCAGTGACCAGCTGCAAGTTGCAAGAGGCGTTTACTAAAATTGTTGAAATGTGTGCGAAATTTTGATGCAAGCCAACCAACTAAAGGCGACCTGCAATCCACCTGAACAGCTTGATTTGTAGTTATACATACATGTACATATACAACAGTTATATATACATATCCTTTACAATACTCCCTAGAAAACCATTATGCTGAACAGCTCAAAACCCAGATTTGGGCATCAAATGAAGTTACAGCCTTGTTCATTAAAATAGTAGTGCCTGCTAATTAAGAAAAACAACTTCAACTTAATATATTTTATTCTACATATATTTGTTGATGTAGGACTTAGTGGTAAGTCCAATACTTTTTCTACGGTTTTGGCATGGAATCGATAAGATCCTGGCACCGCAAGCAGCGGCCACTCAGTTCCGCTTTGGTCGAAGGCTTTCCAGTTTTGTGCAGTGCAATACTACTATTTTTTTGAACACAACCATATGTATGTATATCATATACATATTTATAATATACATATATATGTATGTATGTGCATGCATATATTTCAATTTCTGATCATTTTATGTGTATCTTCCAACTATTCTTTTGCGATTGTTCTCTTGCGGGATAAAAATGTTTTTATTGATGATGACATTGATGATTACGTTGATCATGATGATGAGCAGTATGATGATGATATTGCTGGTGGTGTAAAATAAAACTGATGATTGTTGATTTTGAAAACGCCTAAAGTGTGCCCTTGTGCAGCAACAACAACAGCATGAAACAAAGGCACAAAGAAAAGCAAAGTAAAGCAAAGCAAAAGAAAAACAAGAAACAACAAAATAAGAGTGAAACAAAATCCAAGTGCGAAGCAGCAGAAGAAGCAAATGGAAAAACGCAAAACGAATCAAAACGTTGATGATTAACAAGAAGAAGAAGAAGAAGAAAAAGAAGAAGAAGAGCAAGCAGCAGCAGAGGACAAGCAGGCGCAGATGCGAGCAAAAACAAAAAACAAAAAAATTCCATTCAAATTACGTATGAGTGATTTTTTTTATTTAAGTGCGCATTGCTTTTGTTCTGCATGTGCGTTTCACTCTCGCCATCTCTCTCGCTCTCGCTATGTGTTAACATGTATGCTCATAGAGCAATCTGAATCGAGGGGCTGATAAATATTTACGATTTGGGCGACAATTTTCTTGTGCGCTTTTAGTCCAAATACTCATTACCGAAAGGTGAGGTATAGGCACATCATATTGTATATATACATATATGTATATATATGTTTGACTCAATTACAGGGTATTTAGCAAGCGCCAATTAAAAATTTTTCATTTTCAATTTCATTAAAATGTATCAAATTAATAATATTGTCTAATATACATACATAAATAAATTTTAAAAAATTAACTTTTGCTTTTTATATTTTTATTTGGTATCAAATCTTTACATACACACACACACGCATACAGCTGAAAGAACGCGCGTGGCGACTTTTTTGTTGTTTTGCCTTTGGTTTTTTGGTTTTCTTTTCGTGCAAAACTTGAAAATCCATTTTTTTTTAACAATTTATTAATTTATTGAGCATAAAAATGGTTTGTTAATTGCCTAAACAAATACAAAGCTATTTGTCTTTGTTTGTTTCTTTCTTCGTTTTTATATTTCATTTTTCTTCTTCTTCTGTTATTTTATTAATTGTTTTCTCTTTGCTTGGCGTTTCGTATTTCCGGCTGAGAGGCGTGAATAATGCGAATCAGTTAAAGTCACAAATCCACATATATAGAGAAATAATTGACAAAAAATAAAATTAAATATATATATATATATATATATATATATGTGTGTGTGTGTGTGTGCGGGCGTGTGTTGATATATGAATACTTTTGTAAATATAAAATTGAATACAAAATACAAACAAAAAGTCTTATGAGGGATATTTCTTATATTGAGTTAAGCCTGTAGCTCGTTTTAATACTCGTTCGATATGCAAAGCGAGTCTATTGGTTTTATGCAATATCACTCCAGAACATTAAATTTGTTATATATCTCCTTGCGTACCCTTGCCTTATAGAATAACGATTTTCCCGACAAAATTGTAATACACGAATACTTGTATAGATAACCCAAGCACAAGAATACAAGAAGTAGATATGTCAAATTTGACTTTCCCTTGAGACTTGCCAAATTGGATTCCAGTCCGTTTGGACCGTGAACGAGTATTATGCAGTCACTGACGTCCGTGAATGCAACATTCTTACTTGTTTTGTGCCAATTGAGTTTCATCTCGAAAGAGACGCTTAATTCTCTGAATTAGTTCTATTAAATAATTTATGCGAATAAATAATGTAGTTAAAACTATTGAAGATGTATGTGTTGATATAGATATAATATGCAAATATAGAGATGCACTACTATTTTTGTGAACACAACTCCATATAGTGTTGCGTTCATAATAATAGAAGTGTATACATATACTTATATAATATATATATATCTATATACTTATCTATATATATATATATATATATATATAAACAATTTGGGGAAGCTCTTCATAATATCAATGTATTTGTATACCCTGTAAAATTACTTCTGTAAATGTCGCTGACATATATACGTGAACGATTCGAGAACTAAAATTGAAAAGCAAAATCAATATTACAAATGGGTTTTACCCCAATGCGAGCTGAATGTAATGCTATATATCTATGTACTTACATGTATATATATATTGTCATAGAACTCTGAAATATGCACAAATTTGTATCTATGCATGTAAGTATGTATGTATATAGTACTATATGTATGTGGTTCCATTTCTACACGCCGTATTGTATAACTAATAGTAATTGAACGAGCGCTGAGTGTGGCGATATAATCTAAAGGTCGCACTCACTAGTCGAGAATTAACAGTGCTGATGAAATCATTCACAATAGCCTAAGTATTATCCAAAAATAAAATATTAAATGAAAGCAACGTTCCACTACGATGGAAATTTCTGAAAAGAAAGTCATTTTTGGAGGTTATGTTTAACAAACTGAAATGGAAAGCAAGAAGGAAGTTCCGTTAGTTCATTCGACTCACGATTTAAGAATAATCTGTCTCGAAATCTCAATAATGTGAAATCTCTGAATTGTGAAATTCCATTGATAAGGCAATGAGTCACAGCTCAAGTATTCCTAGCTAGCAAAATTAATAAAAACAAGATTTACATACATATGGATGTATGAATGTGTGTATGTGTGTATAGGTAAAAGCTTAGAAAGTATACTTAGATAATTGTGGAATCTAATAGAAGGTTTCATAGTATCACATAGAGAACAAAAGCAAGTACTTAAGCTCTGCTTTAGGTACGTACATATCGTTTACTTTGTTTATGTATCTGGCTCGATTGCTAACTATGTATGTGTGCACATGTCTGTATGTATCTGTAAATTCCTAAATAAAAAAATTAAAAAAAGAAACAAAGCCGCAAAAACTGAACTTTGAATGTATTTGGTTCTTATCGTCATATGCATGTACATATGTATATGTATGCAAGCGTGTATGTATTACATGCATGTACGCATGTAGGTATGTACATATTTTTCTACTTTATATATTATATACACATTTCATATCACTTTTCTGTTCTTTTATATAATTGTGCACAAACTCTCAATTGCTCTCACTCCGCTTCTTCTGCCCCTGCCTTTTCCCCACTCTTTCTCTCTCTCTCTGTCGCTCGGTTGCGCACCCGCGCGCGCTCTGCCCAAAACAGTTGTCTCTTTGCCTTTTGGGGTTTGTCTAGTCTCTAGTTCATTAACTCGACGGCGGCACAGTGATCCGTTACTTATTGTCTACCCCCTGCCCTCAGCCTCAACCTCGCCCCTTCCCACCACACTGCGCTAGTCAGACTTGCGTTAGTGCTTTCTCTTTCTAACTGCCTGTATGAGGCTATCCTTGTCTTGCAATCTATAAATAAAATGTTGGCTGCATTTTGCGCTGCTGTTTTTGTGACTGTTAATAAAAATTCCATTTGCTTTATACATCCGAAGGCAGAAATTCTCGAACAAAAACATACAAACATACACACATACATACGTACGCACGCACGCACACACGTACATTTGTGTATGTGTAGTATTGTTGGTATATTTGTATGTATCTATATATGTATATATGTATGTATGTATGCCAGATGCGGTAATGTTTACTGTTGTTGTTTCTGCTGCTGCTGCTGCTGTTGCTGTCTTTTGTTTCTGAGTTTTCTGTCTTTTGGCAATTTTTGATTTTCGCTGAAAATTATAAAAATATTTTTTCTTTTTTGTTATTGTTTTGATAAACAAACAGCGCAGCCCACGATTACCTCATATGTATATATTTATGTATATGTATATTATTGTTATTGTTTAGTTGTTGCTCTTCTTGCTTTATGCTTGAATTGTTGACAGCGCAATAACTAGAACAGCTAATGTAAATACATACATACATACATACATATTTGCATGTACATTAACATGCACCCATACACATGTTACCCATACCCTACAACCACCCACATTAGTTGCCACGCCCTACACACTTTGCACTTGGCGACGGCGGCGCCAACGTCGCGACATCGTCGCTGGCCACTCGCTAAGCTTTAGCTTTTTTTGCGTTACTTTTTCCTTTCTGCGCTTTTTTCATTTCCCACCATACTGAAGCACACGCACACATGCATATATATATATATATATATATATATATATATGTGTATGCATATACAAACATACACATATAACACGTACATATATATTTTTATACATACAGACATTTAATTTCATTCCCCTTGCGTTCTTTGGCTTTTACTTTTGTATATTTGTTTGCCTTTATTTTAAATGTGACTGAGGCGCTGACGTCGCTGCTGGCGTCAACGGCACAAACGCGACGCTTGCGCTTACTCACAATCAAATCTCACGCCGCATTTTTAGTCTCAATTTGTTTGTGCTTCAATAATAACTGAAACGTAAAACTCACGCGGCTAAAGCGACGAATCCGTCAACGTCAGTTTACTTTACCTTACTTTACTTTACACTTTTGATTTGCTATTTTTCACTCTGTTGTGTGTTTTGTTATTATTGCTTTTGCTTTGGCATGTTTGTGTGTTTTTGCCTGCTCAGTAGTAAACTGTTTTTAAACCCAGCAATTCGTCGCTGCCGCTGCCGCTGACGCTGCTGCAGCGACAGACGCTGCTACTAGCGCTGCCTCTGCTGCTGCTTCTGCTGCCTTTGCCATTGCAGTGGGCGAGAGCTTTCGAGAATAAGAGAGTGAGAGACGGCAGACCGGCAGGCAAGCATCGGCACTGCCGCCTCTACCGCCACCGCAACTCGTTCGTTTCCACTCGCTGCGCTTACATTTTGTGTTGTCGTGGGTCGCCGCCGTCGTCATCATCGACGTCGTCGCAGCGTTCGTCGCTCGGTCGCCTCGGTGAGTGGGTCGTGTGCTCTCGTCGCTGATTTTGTTTTTGTTGCAACAGCAGCATAATTAGACGTCGTCGACGGCATCGTCGTTATTCACCTCTCGCTGCTGCTATGGCTCCCAATCTGCGTATGCGTAACGCGGCGCATTGCAGTTGTTGTGTGGCCAATGCTCGTTTTGTTTTTTTTTTTACTTTATTTTATTTTTTTTTTTTGGCAATGTTTTTCTACGCGTGTATATACTCGTACATGTATGTATATGAATATATGCAAATATGTGTGTACATATGTAAATTTTATATTCTTTAAGCATTTTGTGGGCAGACAACGACAGTCACATATTTTTATATGCATTGTATACATCATTTTTCAATTTAATATGTTTGCTTA